TCCGGAGGACAGAAGGTCTCAAAGGTCCAGTGGAGGATCCTGGAGCGGTTGAGGGGTGTGCTTAAGACCAGCGGCCTACCCCGTGTCGTTCTTCCCCCACTTACGTTTGGGCAGTTTTTCACCACAAAAGGCATTGATTATTCAGGTGAGGAGGTTCGTGTGGCAAGATCATTCCAATGGAAGATGATTGCAGCAGCCTTCCCTGAGGGTGTGGGGTCATTGGACTTGTTGAGCTTCTGTGATGGAGGCACCAGGTCTTACGTTTCGGAGTTCGAGAAATTCCTCCTGCCGCCCCAGGATCAGAGCCTTGGAAAGACGCCGGCCACGATGGTCAGCCAAGGGCACTGGGCGGAGGTGTGCCTGGGACTCGTCGATCGGGGGGTTTGTGGCCTCATGAAAAGGGAGGATCTCTATCATGTTAAAGGGCGTCCAGTACTGAACGGGCTGTTTGCGGTAGAGAAGGGCGAGAAAGCAGTGGATGAAGGTGGTGAAGAATTTGAGGTATGTAGGCTAATCATGAACCTCGTGCCAACCAATGGCTTGTGCCGAAACTTAGTGGGGGACACCTCGACTTTACCTACGGTTACAGGGATGTCTGGCACAGTCTTGGCTGATGGTGAACTGCTATTGACATCATCCGAAGATATACGGTGCTTCTTTTATTTGTTCCGGACGCCTCAGTGGCACCGGTTCATGGGGTTTGGAAGGGAGGTCCCTGTAGAAGGCCTCCCAGCAGGCTACACAGGCAAGGGCTGGCACCTTGTTAGCAGGGTCTTGCCCGTGGGGTTTATTAACTCTGTGGCAATTGCGCAACATGTCCATCGTCGTGTTATTCAACAGGCCCTATAGGGGGTGAAAGAAAGCTGGCAGGAAAACAGCAAGAAATCCGGCGTGATCGTCGTCCCATCAGTATAGGGTCTATCTCGACAACTATGACGAGTTGAACAAGGTGGACAAGACGCTAGCAGAGTCTTTAGCGGGAAAGCCGTCAGCCTGGTCGTTGGCAGTGCGTGAAACGTATCAACAGCTGGGTCTACCCCGGCATCTGAAGAAGGCAGTCACACAGGAGGTTCAGGCCGAGGTCCAAGGCGCTTGGGTAGATGGGGAGCTTGGTCGAGCGACTCCGAAGTTGGAAAAGGTAGCTAAGTATGTTCGACTTGCATTAGAAATCTGTGTGGATGGCAAGGCTTCGCAACGAGAATTGCAAGTGGTCGGAGGAGGTTTTGTCTACATTGCAATGTTCCGCAGGCCGTTGTTGTCCGGTTTGAATGCAGTGTGGAAGCAGGTCACGGAGTTGGGTGCAAAGGGCCCGTTGGCTCGTAGGACGTTGCCGCGGGAAGTCGTGCTGGAGTTGCTTCGCTTTGTTGCCTTGAGTCCTTTGGCCTACATGGATTTCCGCCTGGCCACTTCTGAGCTAGTGACGGCCAGCGATGCTTCCACCACCGGCGTGAGTAGAGAACTTAGTCCCTTCGGTGTTGCAGCATGCCAAGCTGAGTGTCGCGGAGATGTCGTGGAGCCTGACGAGATGGAGCCGGAGCAGGTGTTGGTGGTATCGCTTTTCGACGGGATAGGCGCCCTCGGAGTTGCATTGGATGCCTTGCGCGTGCCTGTTGGGGGCTATGTCTCAGTGGAGATATCCCCAGAAGCCAATCGCGTGGTCGAGTCGTTTTTCCCTGAGGTGGTGTGCGTGGGAGACGTGGCAAGCGTGACCAATGAAGCTGTCCTTGAGTGGAGGTTGCGCTTTGCGAATGTGCTGTTGGGCGCTGGGCCACCCTGCCAGGGTGTGTCCGGGTTAAACTCGGACCGGAAGGGTGCGTTGAGAGACGAACGGTCCTGCTTGTTCCAGCATGTCCCAGGGTGGAAGCACTACTCCGGGAGCATTTCAATTGGTGCCCCGTGCACAGGCTCATTGAGAACGTTGCTTCGATGGATGCCAACGATTGCCAGACTATGTCAGCAGCCTATGACTCTATATGCCTTGGAGCATCGACGCTGGCGGACTGACTTTGGCACGTCGACCGCGTCTGTATTGGTGTAGTTGGGAGCCGTTGAGACTTGAGGGCGCCAATTGAGGGGAGGGAAGGTAGCCTCCCAATTAAAGGCAAGGTAGAGCTTGAGGTGACAGTGGACGAACGCGACTTTCTGGAGAGTGGATGGCAGCGAGTCCCCCCCGACGCTCCGTTTCCTACGTTCACCACAGCTTGACCTTCAGCAGTTCCAGGACGCCGGCCAGCGGGACTAGCCCTCTGTCCCCCTGAGGCAGTAGCTAGGTGGAAGGCTGACCTTCATCGCTTCCCACCATACCAGTATTGGGCAGAGAACTGCGTCACTAGTCGGCAAGGAGAGTTGCGTGTCCCGTCAGTCAAAGAAAGAGAGGTGATCTTGGGCTTTCCAGTCGACTACACCCGGCGGTGCCTGGTCAAGAGCATGGAGGGGAGCAAGGCTCACAACGACTGTCGACTGACTCTTCTGGGGAACAGTTGGTCAATTCCGGCGGTCGCCTACTTGTTGTATTGCCTGTTTAGGACACTGGGATTGTTGCCGAAGTTGGAGCTTGTCACCCTGGTAGAGCGTTTGACCCCTGGACGCGAGCAGTTCTTGTCTAGTCTCCTGATGAGGCCCCCGGTCCCCGGTGAGGCAAACCACAAAGGCAGGCAGTGTGCAGCAGGGTTTGGTTGCTCGTTTGATGGGACAAGTCTCTGTTAAGGGAGAGGACCTCCTGCTCCAGCTGGGGTCCGATCTCCCAGCGCGATATCACCGTTTGCGGGCATCCATCCCCAGCAAACTCTGGCGGTGGAAAGATGTTGCAGGGTGGCGCTGGACGGGAGACGTTGAACACATTAACGCATTGGAGCTACGAGCGGTTAAAACTGCCATTGTCTGGAGGTTGAAGGAGCTTGAGGAGAAGGAGCGTCGTTTCTTGCACTTGGTTGATTCTTTGGTTGTGTTGCATGCCTTGTCTCGAGGAAGGTCATCCAGCAGGAGATTACGGAGAACATTGTGTCGAATCGGAGCGCTTCAGTTGGCAGGAGGTCTTGTCGGTATTTGGGGTTACGTGGACACCCACCAGAACCCCGCTGATCGGCCATCGCGCCGCCCCCTTCGAAAGAAATGGGTAAGAAAACCACGAAAGTGATGGAAGGAAGAAGCCAACAAGAGCGCAAGAAGGTTCGAAGCAAACTAGGTTCTCTCAAAGGGCTTACTGTTCAGCCGCGTACAAGGCAACGATACACAGAATGTCTCAACCGCTTCTTCGACTGCATGGCAGGGGAGGGACTCGCCCTCCCAAAACAACAAGTTCGTTTAGATGCGTTGGTCAGTGACTACCTAGAACATCTCTGGGCCTCCGGCGAAGGCAGGTCCGTGGCAAACAATACTTTAGCAGCACTGCAGGATCGTGATCCATCGCTGAAGAAGAAATTGCCAGGAAGTTGGCGCTTGCTAAAAGCATGGACAACGGTAGAGATACCCAACCGAGCACCGCCTATGACACTTCAAATTCTTGATGCCTTATGCGGACGGTCCATTTTCAACGATTGCCCTGCCTTTGGCTTGTCCTTACGGATCGCCTTCTGGGCTACTTCGTACCGGTGAATTACTGAGCCTGCGGGCCAAAGATGTTTTCATCCCAGGGCCCAAGGGACCAGCAGTCCTTTCCCTCGGACTGACCAAGGGAGGAGCTCGCCAGGGCGCGGCGGAGAGTGTCACGCTGCATGAGCGGTCGATTCTCCCAGACCTCTGGAGATGGAAGCAAGTCAGTTCCCCTTCTCAATTTTTAACCCTCAAACCACATGCGTGGAGAGCCTTGTTTACCAAAGCCATCGAGGCACTCAAATTGAATGACCTGCAATTCAGACCGTACAGTCTGCGCAGAGGGGGCGCGACGTTCTGGTTCAACCAGCACGGTTCGTTCGATAAATTGCTCGTGCAAGGCTGGTGGGCCGCTGCACGAACGGCTCGAGTGTACCTCAACGACGGCCTCGCACAGTTGGCCGACATGTCTCTGTCTAATTCGGTTTTTATTCCATACGTCAACTTGTACCGCAGGAGCCCAAACCTTGAGCCTGGACCCCCTCAAAGGGGGGTCCAGGTCAGGGGGACGTGGAGCAAGAGCCAAGAAGGGACGAAAGGTTTAATTTTTTGCGCTTTTTCTGTCGCGCGCGCGTCGATTTCTCGGAGTTGAGAAGTCGGAGAAGAAACCTCCCATCAAGGCCGGAGTGGGTCTGGGAAGGGTTTCCCTCTCTTTAAGTGCCTGAGCCTAGAGGGAGCATCGGGTTTGGCGGATGCGGCCCTAGGAGGCACTAGGGGGGCTCTCTGTTCCTGTCGGTTTGGCGAGGGAACAGAGAGATTAGGAAGCACAACCTTGTTGCAATTTAGACAAACATTCTGGAACGCGTGGGAAAACAAGCTGAGGTCGTGTTTGGTTGAATGTCCCCATAACTAAACACGAATCAGGTGTATCTCCCACGTAGCTTTGGGCTCGAAAGGCCCGCCCACTTCCCTCCCCTCTCGCTCAGCTGCTCAAAGCACGTGGAGCCAAGAAGGGACGAACGGTTTAATTTTTTGCGCTTTTTCTGTCGTGCGCGCGTCGATTTCTCGGAGTTGAGAAGTCGGAGAAGAAACCTCCCATCAAGGCCGGAGTGGGTCTGGGAAGGGTTTCCCTCTTTTTAAGTGCCTGGGCCTAGGGAGCATCGGGTTTGGCGGATGCGGCCCTAGGAGGCACTAGGGGGGCTCTCTGTTCCTGTCGGTTTGGCGAGGGAACAGAGAGTCGGGGCCCCGAGAGGTTATTAGGAAGTACAACCTTGTTGCAATTTAGACAAACATTCTGCAACGCGTGGGAAAACAAGCTGAGGTCGTGCTTATATATATATATATAACCATATATAATAACCAAAATATCCTAAAACAGTGCTAGAATGTTGGACTTCTTTTTGGAGTAGATGAAGCGGCAAAGTCCGACTCAAGGTTTGTTATCCACCCTTGTCGAGTCATTGCCCAACATGATGTTGCTGTCCAAGGCATCACTATGGCTGGAGTCCACCGATCGATATTGTAGATGTCGGGCAGGTGCTTGAAATGACAATACAAGTGTCCAAAGTCAGTGAAGAACTTTGCTAGAGATCCTGTTTCAATTATGGATACATGGCCAGGTTCGCTTTCCATTTATCTCGCAGTACCTGAATTACATCATGTTCTGGGCTCGCAAGGTTTTGGTCCACACCGTTCAGAGACCTCTATTTTGGTCGATGTTTGAGCAAAGCACTGTTTACAAACGCCGCACCTGACATGAGGTTTGAACTGCTCAAGAATTCGCTCCGAGCTGTAGTTGAGAGGCCAGCAGCTGCAAGCATGCGTTTGTCCATGAAGAGGGTAGCCTGGAATATCCTGAAATACTTCAGGTATGGTTCAAGGCAAGTGGCCGAGGCATACCCAATTCGTCTGAATCTGAGCCTGTCATGTTGTCCTCTCCTTAAAGCCCCTGCATGATAAGCGATGTTGTGATTAGTGATTGCAATAGCATGTTTCCTCCGATTGTGCATATCCGGACAGCTGAAAGATGTTCCCAGGTGTTGTGATTTGTGGTGATGATGACACCGTAGTGCTGAGGGTGCCATGTGCCTAGAGACAGGAGACAGATATTGGAAAGGAGCACCATCGTGTGATGTTCGGTCAGTGCAGAAGCCAGGACATAATTTCCCATAAGATGAAAACACATGTGTTGTTCCACATGTTTTCTGGACTGGCAAGGTCCGACTGCGGTGGAGGTTGGGATGTTGCTTGTAGAGTATATGTTATATACAATCTGACCGAGATCGTCCAAGAGCCAAAGAGCACCGGTCGCAGCAGACGATAGCAGCAGAGTCATCATTGTGGTGGCCCAATCCATTTGCTTGAGAAGGCATTCCCTTGGATGACATGGACCAGGCATTGGGTCACTCAACACTGATGCTGCGACCGAGCTCAGTTTGATGATTAGACAAGGCAAGCACAGAATTGCAGCTGTTGGCAGGTGTGGTCATATATGTTCACCACGGCTAGGCCAGCATGCGAGGCGGGTTGGGCTCTTGCTTTAATGGGCAGATTGTCTATTGAAAGCCGGCCATGCACCGATATTGCATTGTGTATATATATTATATATATATAGAGAGAGAGCCATTCATTGGACATGAACAAGAGAGCTCAGATATTGATCAAACCACAGAGCTTCGGTAAGCCAGTTTGTTGACCTGCGTGAAGCTGGCCATGCTTTGGCTGCCTGGTGGAAGGAGGTGGCAGCTGCAAATGCCTGCAGCGAGCCGGAGGATGAAGATTCCGACGATGATGGTGTGGCGCCAGAATCTCATGGCTTCGGAGTGCTTCGTGATTGTGGTTTATAAATGTGTCTCTTCTGAATGAGAGCTGAGAGAATTCCTGTCCACGGTTCCTACTAATCAGGGTTACATCATGTTACATCTCATCATATAATATCCTTGTAAACACAGCATGGCAACATTAAAGTTTGAGCAGCATTATAAGCATGTTTATTGTCCACGGTGTCAAAGGTATCAACATGCACCCTGATTGAAGCTGTAAAACTAGAGGCCATTGGCTGGCTTCGGCTGCGGCTTGCCACTGAGCAGGCCACATGAGCATAGGGTCCATTCCGTCCATGTGTCCTGTGAGCGAGTTGTAGATGTTGTCAGCAGGAACTATGCGTGCTAAACTTAGATGTTGAATTGTTTTGTTTGATGCCTGTTGCCAACAGCGGCCAAAGGCGGTCAGGGAGCAGAGGCTGCCCACAGCCCATTTTGCTTGACGAAACAATGAGGTGCTATGTTGGTGGATGGTTAGAGCTGAATTCAATTCCCGAGTTTGGCACAGACGCGTGCGACAATTCTTGCTTTGTGGGTGTATGAAGAGGCTGCGATAAGCAGCTGGTCCATGTCCTTGGAACGCTCGCACGTGAGGTACTTGTACTTGAATCGTTCCGGGAATGGCCAAGAGGCTTTGAGAACTGATGTCGATGCCAGCGTCCCAGCGTGGAGAACTGAAATCCGTGGAACGATGCGGAGAACTGAAAACGAAGCAAACGAGGCGTTGCCGATGCGTGGCTCACTGCTGAATGGTAGCTACAACGGTAGCTCTTGCGATTCAAGTGGCATTTTGCTGGCTACCGAATAGTGAGTGCGAAAAAAGACTGTTCTTTGTCTACTTTTAACTTTTATCCGAGGCACGGCAGTACTTACGTGGCCTCTAACACGTTTCTTCTTGCAACCTCCCCATATTGGGAAAGGCAGAGCGACCCAAACTCCATGGTCTTCCTCCCTTCCTGTTCAGTGTTATGAAATTTGATGGTGAGTTCTGTCTATATTCTAGCAAACATGCCACAACGTGAAATTGGTACTGGCGGATGATTGAATGCCTGCGCTGCAGCTTTTCCGTGAGTCTTGGAGCTTGCAGTTGGTGCAAGCGCATGTACCGAAGTTGAGAAGAGCGAGTGAATGGGAGTTCAAGGCCAGGGCCTGGTTTGATCGAGACTTCCTTTAAATGATGTTACTGATTGCTTTTATGCTTGGTAGGATACCTGCCGAAAAGTCCAGAGAGTGTGATCTACTGCTCGAGTCCAACAGCTCTTGTCAATGTCTGAGATCTGTAGCATAATTTAGGCTGTGCCTTTTGGCCTTGCAACTTGCACACTGCATTGACTGTGATTTGGATGATCTCCATGTTTCAAGCACAGCAACCACCCCCTGTCATGAGGGCCAGCGACGCCTTGCGCCGAACCTTCAATGCCAGAAGCTACAGAAGCTCCGTTGAGAGTCGAGAGTTAAGTTTCCATAAAAATCTAGGAACCAAATCAGTAAGCGCTTCTTCAAGGAAGCTCCCCCCGCCGCCTTTAGGGCGGGGGGAGATTCTTTGAAGAAGCGTGAGCTATCCTGCGTTCATATCTATTATATAGCTTATATAAGTAGCCAATAAGCGAACCACTTGCTGTAATTATATAAGTAGGAGCGGGCTAAAAAGACTGTTCAGCTTCCTTCACGCTTCTTGAGGTGAAAATGAGCAAGTAGTACTTCAGCGTAGTTCCGCCCGTCGTGGACTTGGCGCAAGGGAAAAGTTGAGAAGTCTGCAAAGGCTGAAGCCAAGGGCAAAAGAGTTACTCTACCTTACGGATTTTTACTGTGTATTTGCATTATGGCTATGAATCGAATCTCGATTGGAAAGCAAGCTCCTTGCTCAGGCAGCGTGGCATTGGCTGTCGGAGGAGGGCTCAGTCTCAGTGCAGTGTCCTTAAACATTTGGCGGAGTGGCCATGAGTGGCCCACAGTCACGTTGGTGTTTTCATGCTTCTTGCAAGCGACTTTTCCATGGAGTTTCATAATGGGGAAAAGAAAAAGAAAAGGATATTTTAAAATATGTTAAAGGGCCTTTTACTTTTTTCTTTTCTTACCTTTAGTTTTACTTGTCCTTATTTCTGTTTCATGAAGTTGTTTGCCTTTTTTCAAGAACTCCGAGTGACTTCAACAAGGCCTTCACGTTGAACTGGCTGGGGCGGAAAAGCCGTCGGCCAGCACGATCTTTTCGGAGGCGCAGACGATTGCTGCACGGCCAAACGAGGTTTGCCATTCGCCCAGAAAATTCCGGTTGACTACCCCAAATCAGCAGAATGAACTACTTGTACCAGCATCTATGTTTGAAAGGTCAACAATCTAATTGCCATGGTATTCTTATGATATTATTAAATGTTGTTGGAAACAAAAAGTACCCAAAGGCAGACATCTCGAGGCAGTTTAGGACAAGAGGACCTTCCTTGCGACTTGGACTAACTCTGCTGGATTCAAAGAGTGGTGTCTTGTGTTTTGGTACAAACAAACTAATTATATAAATATACAAATTGCTAGCTGCCACTTCAGACTAAGAGCAACAAGCAGCGTTTGGAGTCTTTACAAGAAGTCCACCAGCCTCAGGAACAAAGCAAAGAAACTGTTGCTGATGCTTGAAATGTCAGGCCGGTCAAGGCTGTCTCCCGACCCAAAGTTCAGGACCCCGAAGATACCAGTGCCGGGGTGCCCGGAGGAGACAAAGAAATTTATCGAAAGATGCGAAGACATCGCTAAAGAAGAAGACTCTTACATAGCTGTCAGCATGGCTGTATCATTCTGCAACTCTGAGGTACAAAATGTGGTACCTCCACTACCCTGTGTAACATGTTGTGGCCTAAGCTCGCTGAGCTTGGTCCTGTAGTTCGAGGGCCATGTAGGGTTACACTTCATTTCCGTTGCACCCAGAGCGGAGGTCTAGACAAGAGGAGAAAACCTTTGTTGGAGGTTCAATACTTATACGCTCTTGCCTTAGTAACTCTCGGGCTGTCTTTGCTCCTGCTCTGTTGCACACCTCAGGCCTCACCCATTCTGAGACCTGGGAAGTCCTCTGAAAGGCTTCCAGCCTTGCGTTGGCAGGCAAGCCCCCAAGAAAATGAACTGCCTACGCCACGTCATTCGCTCGGCAGTCAAAAAAAACAGTCATGAGAAGAGGACTGGGGGAGCCTGTCACTTTGTGAAAGGAAGAAGTTGCGGCTATCAAAGACGCGCTGGAGATTGACTTTGACTATGACTCAGGCATGTGGCATGTTGCATAGCCTTTCTAGTCGAACTGTGGGATTTGCACGTTCCATTGCAGGTCCATTGGTAGAAAGGGATGGTACACCATTGTCAGCCAATGCCTTACGTGACTAGCTGGCTAGCCATGTACGTTCGACAAAAGCAGGTTCCTGAGCTCAGGCATCCGCTAGCAGCAGAGCCGGAACATGGACTACTGGCAGTTATGCCAGCACGAGTGCCCGCATGCAAGTGCTTGTTGCAACAGCTGCAGCCTCGACCACCACATTCTGCAAGGATGTGACACTTGTATCGACAGTTGTTAGGTCAACAGGCTATCTCGTCTTGCAGCAAGTAGTGCCGCTACTTCAGGCAGGACTATTGCAAGTAGTTTCATGCTCTCTATGTCTCAACGCAATCAACATCCCATTCCGCAAGGTTGCAAAATTTGATAACATTTGTCTTGTCCCCTGGTTTGAACCGCTTGCAACAAGAGCTGTCTGGCTCGTGCATGTTGGAGAATACAAGATGATTATGACATGTTTTGGATGAAAGAGGGCGTTGTTTTTGCATGTTTTTGCTATCCCATGGCATCCACGTGGGGCAGCCTTCTGCATCCCTGCAATCAGGCAGCCTTCTGTGAGTGCCTTTAACCTCTCCGTACTGATGTACAGACAACCCAAAAAATGCGTAGAGTAATTATGGAAAGCAATGGAAAGGTAGAGGACAACTAGAAAGAGGGCCTGCAGCTCATTCGTAGCCAGTAGATTTGCAACAGTGTTTTCTATTGAGAGAGCCGCTTGCTATAGCCATGGCAACGACATCATCAAAAGCGTCGGCCAATCGCATGGCCAAGATAAAGGCACTATTCGGCTGCATGCAGCTCGACACCGGATTCGAGAGTTTAGTAAGTAGCATCGTGCTTTTTCACTTGCTCGAGGTATCAGAATGCACCAGAACGAATCGCCCAGGTTTGTGCCATACCTTGTGGCTGCAGTGGGTGCCATCACCTTAGTGGGTGAATCGCGGTTTGGCATCATTTGGCTCATGAGCCACTCACCCAGGTGGGCTGGCAGGCTGTGACCGTGCCGGCTTTGGGGGAGCTGGAACAAGTGGATCTCCGAGGGAAGACGGTGATCATCACAGGCTCCACCTCGGGACTTGGCCAAGCACAAGCAGAGGCCGGGACGCCTGCATGCGTCCGCTTGACGAGCTTTCCGGTGTCACTTTGTTCCCCAATAGCCATGCTATGGGGTCTTGCAAAACTAATAGGCGGACGGGCGCCGTCGGGTCACCGTCAGAGCTGGTGGGCGGATGGTGTCCCGGTCATGTTTTGATGGCGCCCGGGTCATGTGATGCTGGTGTCCCGGTCATGTTGTGATGGTGTCCCGGTCCTGTTTTGATGGTGTCCCGGTCATGTTTTGATGGTGTCCCGGTCATGTTTTGATGGTGTCCCGGTCATGTTTTGATGGTGTCCCGGTCATGTGATGGTGTGCCGGTCATGTTGTGATGGTGTCCCGGTCATGTTGTGACGGTGTCCCGGTCATGTTTTGATGGTGTCCCGATCATGTGATGGTGGCGCGGTCATGTTGTGATGGTGTCCCGGTCCTGTTTTGATGGTGTCCCGGTCATGTGATGGTGTCCCGGTGATGTTGTGATGGTGTCCCGGTCCTGTTTTGATGGTGTCCCGGTCATGTTTTGATGGTGTGCCGGTCATGTTTTGATGGTGTTCCGGTCGTGTTGTGACGGTGTCCCGGTCATGTTTTGCATGTTTTGGCGGTGTGCCGGTTATGTTTTGATGGTGTCCGGGTCATGTGACGGTGTGCCGGTCATGTTGTGATAGTGTTCCGGTCATGTTGTGATGGTGTCCCGGTCATGTTTTGATGGTGTGCCGGTCATGTTGTGATGGTGTGCCGGTCATATTTTGATGGTGTTCCGGTCATGTTGTGATGGTGTGCCGGTCATGTTTTGATGGTGACCCAATCATGTTGTGATGGTGTGCCGGTCTTTTTTTGATTGTGACCCAATCATGTTGTGATGGTGTGCCGGTCTTGCTTGTTTTGATGGTGTCCCGATCATGTTTTATGGTCGATGTGTTGAAAACAGCAGCTGTTTCTAGATTTTTCTCTTTACGAAAGCTAGCAGCTAGCACCAACTAGCTGGAGTTGTTTTTGCTTAAGTAAATGAGGGGTTGGAATGCTCGACATCGCCGCATCACGTGAAAATTTTATATGTAGGTAGGGGGCCCCCCCCCCGTGGGTTTAACTCCCCCCTGGGGCACCTTTTATGGCATCCATTTTGGTTTAATTCCTCCGGGATACGGTGCAACAGATTGAACAAGCTTACAGGTTCATGACATCGACATTGATAGAAGAAACCAAGTAAATCATGCAAGCAATTTTGTTTTGCCTCTGGGACACCTCTTGGACACCTTTTATGGCATCCACTTTGGTTCAACTCCTCCGTGGAGGTTTTGGGATACGGTGCAATAGATTCAACAAGCTCACAGGTTCATAAACACATCGGATGCATCGAATAGTGTGGCAAAGTCCAGCCACGTTTCCTTAATTATCGGGGATTTCAATTCTAAGGTTGGCTGTGTTATTGCTGTTTGTGTGTCTTACATGTTCACAATGTTTTACCTCATGAGCATTTGCCTCAATCCGCTTGATGTCCCACCAGTCCGGATGCACCCCTGCTAGCTTTCGTCACCTACCCTCGGCCTCAAGTTGTCCCGGTTTGTATTTTGCTATTGGGGTCTCTAGCTGGGCTAATTTGACCCTGGTTCATCCTGTTTCTTTGTTTCCAAGAATAGGGGATTGATATTTAGTCACGAAAGCTAGCATGCTAGCTGAGTTCTTCTTTGCTTTAGCAATGTTGTGGTGGGAGGGGCTGCGTGCCTTAAAGATTGATATATCAAGCTAACCCCCCCCCCCCGCGGTTCAACTCCCAGCTGCGCCGTGCAGGGGGTTGGTTGAACGTGTGAACGTGGTTGGTTGGGTGTAACGGTGGCTTGGTGTAAAGGGTGCTGCTGCTGCTGCCGCTCTGCTGCTTGCTGCTGCTGTTTGCTGCTGCCGCTGGTTGCCGCTTTTGTAGCTGCTGCTTTGCTACTTGTTGCGGCTTGGTGGTGCTGCTGCTGTTGCTGACGACGCCGCTGCTACTGCTGCTTGCTGCTTGCTGCTGCTGCTTGCTGCTTGCTGCCGGTGGTGCTGCTGCTGCTGCGGCTTGATGCTGCGCTGCTGCTGTGTGGTGCTGCTGGCTGGCTGCTGGTTGGTGGTTGCTGCTGGCTGCTGGCTGCTGCTTGCTGCATAGGACTTGTACTTCACCGTTACAAGTTGTTTACCCCTATTTCTAACCTAATGCATGCATAAGCGGGTGGTAAATTTACCCCCAGGCTTGCTATAACCATACACCGGCTATTTCCTCAAGACACACTATTCTTGATACCTTTTACCAGTGCTTATCCTACACTACGGACGCCCTAGTGTATGCACAGTCCTTGTGATGCCAGAAATGCTTACCCCTCTTTCCAGCGCAAGGCATACATAAGCGGGGGGTATTTTTACCCCCCAGATTTGCAATAACCATACACCGGCTATTTCCTCAAGACACTCTATTCCATATACCTTTTACCCGTGCTTCTCCTACACTACGGACGCCCTAGTGTATGTACAGTCCGTATGATGTCAGAAATGCTTACCCCTCTTTCCGACTCAAGGCATACAAAAGCGGAGGGTAAATTTACCCCCCAGATTTGCCGATCACGCATCTTCGTACCTGCCAACGAGTGCACCCGGGTTGTTCCAATGTACCCTTCCCAGTCAGCGATGTCACATTTACATTCTTTAGCGCAAAGTATGTACATAGCAACCTTCCTCCCAAAACATGTCATCCCTACATGCTTTGCCGACTATGTAACTAGTACATCCGGTGCGACTCGGCTAGCTTTCGACCTCTCCCCCTGGCCTCAAGTTGAGTTTGCTACTGGCCACCGGCTACAGTAAAAGATCTGTCAAATATAGTAGCATGGGACTTGGATGGATGGCTTGGAATCACGGCCGCTCAAGAGGTGATGGCAGCCTGGAATGCATCTTTGGTCCTTCCCGTCAGTGCCTGAGAACCACTTAAATGATACCAAGAGTGTTCCTTTTTTGTTGCACGCCTTTGGGACATTCCACACGGAGAGTCCAGAGATAGAAACACAAGGAAAACTCAAGTGACCTGGCATGGCTAAATCGGTTTAGGTGCGGGACATGAAGAAAGGAAAAGCCTTGCAAGAGAGACTGCAGCAGGAAGGGTCTTTGTGACATGTTGCACGGACGGACACAACACATCAAACATCATAAAAGTTGTATAAATGCATCTTATTGCCCTTGAGATGTTTTTAAGAGATACTGTAGCACTATGACGAGTATTGAGTATTGATATGTCGCCCATGTGCTGGGAAGCTGGAATTTTGACTTGCCTCGTTCCCTCCTGAACAGGAGAACCCTTCCGCACCTCCACCAGTCCTTTCCTGAGGTTTATTACCTTTGTTTTTTTCGATACAGGGCGAAGTTTTCTTGAGAAGTGAAAGTTTGAGAGGTTGTAATGGAAATGGATCTTGCCTCTCTCGAAAGCGTTCGTGCATTTGCAGATCAATACACAGGGCCTGTGGTCAGTATCTCGGTCAAATCGCGCGCTACCACTGATCCCCACTCCCAATAGTTTGCTCAGGATGTTCTGGTCCACAATGCAGCTGTTTTGGGTACCGGTGAGCTGATCCGTACTCAGGACTGAGGGGTGTTTGTTAGCTCAAAATAGGCTCAACGTTTGTAGAGTGAAGACTCGACTTGGTGCAAAAGTGCCTTTGGATGCCTTTGGTTCAACTAGATGAGATAGACTGGAGTGTTTGCGAAGGATGGCTTTGAGGAATGCTCCCAGGCAAGGGGAAGTTCCCTGATCACAAGTCGGCTTTCAACCGCCGACTTATCGATAGACCGACTTCCTTGCCTTAGCCACCTCTGCAGGTCAACTACCTTTCCCCGCCTCAGCCTGAAAATGCACCAGAAACGCCAAGCCGTGATGCTTGAGCATGTGAGTCTACCGATGTTTGACTGATCAGTCTAGACATTCTGTTGCACTAAGGTTCTTGCTGACGTCCCTACTGCTGCCTCGTTTAGAGCAGAGTGAGGAAGCGCGGATTGTACACGTGTCAGCCAAAGCCCATGAGCGCATGCCTCAGATATTCCGTCCTGGCTCCGTCCTTGGACCGTTTGCCTGGCAGGTGGGGAAAGATCAGTGTAGAGGCGGTCCACTGGAAGCTGAACCTGGTGGAATGCAAGGACTTGTGTTGTCTTCTTATTGCGCCAGGAATTTCGACGTCGGAAAGTCCTCGACTTGGAATTCCCAAAGAGGCATTGACAGTGAATTGACGCTTGTTAACACGTGTGATGTGTGTGTGTGTGGATGGTTCAGAATCAAGTTTTGTGGGCGAGTCTTTTGTCTCGTGCTTGACTGCTTGGCCAGGCAAATGCGCATGTTGGGAAACTTGGGTGGCTCGTATGCGGATTCGAAGCTAGCTCAGGCCGGGTCAAAGACTGAAACGGTGAGAAGGAGTCTTGAAAGCTCAGTCAGTCAGTCAGGGCGTGGGCCTGGGAATATCGGTATTTCTTACATCACTGCAGGTACTCTTTTCTCAAGCCTTGGCCAGACGTTTGCCAGCAAATGTGTGGAGACCTGCGTTCCGGACATGGGAGAAGCAAGACAACCAAGGCAGTGCTGTGTCATGGCAATGGCAATCAGGCAATCTGTGTGAAGCAGATGTAAGAAGCATCCGAGAAGTCCACCATTGTTGCAAAGATAGTGGATGCGGTTGTGCAAGACAGGCCCGAGTCCGGAGTGCCTTCTGATGTCTCATCTCTGCTTTGCTGCAGAATCGCTCAAGAGTCGGACGGCCCCCCCTTCCCTAGCACTATAGATGAGGCAAGAAATTTTGGTGGTCACCACCTGAACCGTTCACCTTTCTCAAGGGAAGCGTTTTGCGCTCGGGATACTCAGGTTGTGACGCATAGCTTGCACCCTGCAATTGTTCAGCCCACTGCTCAGCATGGTCGAAATGTCAATTCTTCAACTTGTTGCCTTTTTGGCGCTTATCTCATTTCGCAGTGCATTCTTTGAGGACACCTTTGGTCCAATCACTGTCTCAGCCAGGGTTGCAGACGTGACCCTGTAGCATCCTGCTAGGGCCGCTAGGGCCAGGGCTCATCGCTGATGCACCCATACAGTAATATATTCAAAGGTTTCACATTCACAATGTGGCACAGGTACTTGCACGATTACATAATGCTGCCTGTATTGAGACTGACTGGCTTCGCACAGTCGGAGGAGACGTTCGCTTGTTGTGTACACCTCGCAGCTTTGACCCTTGTGGCTGGTAGGAGGATGGGCCGAAGACACAGATTCATGTGTCCACTCATCCGGCTGTGCAGGCAATTCTGCTCAAAAGTTAAATTTCTGGCTGGCCGACTAAGAAATCCTACGGTGAGAGAGAGAGAGGAAAAGAAGAGAAGCATGAGAAGCCATGAAGCGAAGAGAAGAGAATAGGAGAGGGAATTGAAAAGGAGAGAAGAAGGCCATTCGAGAAAGACATTGTTTGAATGGATGAGAAGAACATAGCCAGCATTTGATTTCAGGCAGTGTCAGGACGCTACTACTCGGCACTTGCACCTCCCCTGGTGAATTGCGGTCGGGAGGTTGGGGGTGAAGATCCATCGTGAAGAAGAAAGACCGTGTTCATTTGCCATTCTCTATTGCAAGACAGCATGCTACTAGTAGGATCTTGTTACTACTAGTATGGCCTCCAACCTACTACCGTAGCGATGGCCTCCAACCGAGTAGCTTCTAGCTACTAGTAGCATGAGATAGCTCCTGCAAGGCAGAAGATTGTGGGTGGTCCAGCATATCTGCCACTGCATCTGATCGATTTTTGCAAGAGGACTGGGGGCTCGGACGAGTCGGATCACTGGTTCCTCATTGGTTCCATTCCATTGTTTCAGACATGTTGACACAAAGATGGGAAGCTGAGCTTGCACGGAAGGAGCTGTTTGAAGCTTCCTGTGAACTACTTGGGTTGACCACTGGCCTTTGCGGTCGTCAGCCGTAAGCAGAAAAGACATGCACATCCAAGATCATCCAACTGCCTACTGGGCAGCTTTTGCAAACTGCAGCTGTTTGTTATTGCTTGGTAGCGTAATCTTGTCTGGACTCTGGATGGACTCACCTTTGGTAGGTCACAGCTGGTGGCACATTGCAGCTCACAGTGAACCTGGCACTGATCGATTGATTCTTGAGGCCTCTAACAACATCTTGTTGCCTTTCTGTTGGTACTGTTCCGACTATTCCGTTTTGACAGGACCAGGATGGTGCGCCTCAGGTGGTTCCAATGTCTGTTTGAGTCTCAGATGCAGTAAGACCATGTATGGCCGACTGTTTGTTTGAAAGCAAGGCCATCTTCAAGTGCCAAACCCCTCCGCTGGGCGTGTCAGTCCTGACGTGTGCTGGGGAGCAGGCAAAGCTAAACTCATGGCTACATGCTAGTGCGTGTGTTGCATAGACCTGAGTTGCCGTTTTGTAAATCAAAGGCAATGCATGGGGTAAAGTGGTCAATGCTGTCCCACACAACCAGGAAATCGACGGCCTTCCTTGCCAGGCTGGTAGAGCCCTACTAGCTGCTGGAGCCTCCTTCGCGATTGTAGCCACAGGGCAACTGCGTGTCGTGGAAGCATTGTCAAGTATGGTAATCCAGCATGTAACTTACCCATTAGATCCCATTACTGTACATCCTATTGCTCAAGTGATATGAGGGATTATGGGGGCTAGAACTTGAGCTCTTTGAAGCACCCCTTGTTCCTCAGGAGTTGTAGCGGATCAATTTGAACCATTTACGGTGTTGGATCCTTTGTCCATTTACTTGAGGCGACTCGACAGCCCGGATGTTTGCCTCATATTTTTATCGTCAGCTTCATTGTGCATGTCAAAGTCTTGAGCTTTGACCTTGGCTGGGAAGAAACAAAAGACAAAGCGAGTGATGTCAATGCGTGTGTCATTCAGCCATCACATGCCTTGCAGCATTGTGCAGCCAACTCAGAACCAGCTGAGGAGTAGTGACTCAGAAAGAGGCCGGAAAATTGTGGAACAGGTTTGACATCTACTCCGCTGGATGAAGAGAAGTGCTTAAGCCTTCCTCACCACAGTGCCTTCTTACCTCACAAGGCATAGAGGAGCGTGTACGATTGGCATTCAGAGCTGCCAAAGAGGTGCGAAGCCCCGTGTGAATGCCAATGCGCATTTGCCCCTATGGTTTGCAAGAGCCCCGTTCGTAGCGTCCTTGCTCCTAGTAGTACGGCCAGGAGCCCCAGTAGCCTCTTTGCTCCTAGTGGTGCTAGTAGCGATGCCAGGAGCCCCTAGTAGCGTCCTTGCTCCTACTATGGTTTGCATTATCAAGCCTATGATTTGACGTGTGATCCCTTGTTTTGGAGGTGTTGAAGACGGCCACCAATGCAGCGATCCGAGCAGATGCCAATCAGCTCCTCCTCTTGGAAAAGAGTCCTGGCCTCGTCAACCCGTTGGCTAAAGGTGACTTGTGCAGAACCTGCACACACAGCGCCTCGACTCGTGCAAAAAAAAAATCCGGTGCTTGACAGCTGGAGTCCTGGAACCAATGGGAGCATCATAGCTTGGATTTCCCTTCGGATTGAGTGGTGAATTGCTTGTGTAAGAGGCAAATGCTCGCCTGCACTTCTTCCAAATTCAATCTTGCTTTATCTATCAGAGTTCCACCTGAGGTTCTGATTTGCCAATTATGTCAGCAAGGACTGGTTGAGCCGTTGCTCAATGTAAAGGGTTGGATCATGTTGGATCGCTCGCTTTTGCCTTGGGAGGAGCTCTCCTACTTGGATGCCAGTTGCTGTGGCTCCAGAGACTCCAATCGAAGGCGCTAAGTCACGGTATTGGAAACTCGGCGCTCGGAGATGCGCTTGGTTTTTCATAATATAGACGTTGTGTTGCTTTTCTCGTCACATTTCCCACCAGATGAAGGCTAGCATCAATCTAGGGCCCAGCGAGAAATTCCACAGGACCCTTGCACCGTTTGATGCCTGTGGATGGTTTTGGGATGCAGGCTTGGGCCGGAGAAGACAGATGTGAACGTGCATTTCTTTTCGCGCATTAGATGTTGGTTTTGAACAATCCCGTTCACGGTCATTTGAGGCCGGATCAGTGACTGAACACGCAGATGGCGAAGATATTCAGGAAACGGTGTTTTACAACAGCAACCTGGACAAGTCATGAGATGATGTTTGGTGCCTGCCCCAAAAACCTAACGGCTTGGCCATTCCAGGACACTGAGCTTTCCTCACTGAATTCCAGCGCCCCGGAGGAGGGACGTGCTAGAGTGGCTAGGGCTGAGGGAGAGTGAGGGAGACCAAGCGCCGGAAGAGAGGGAGAAAGAAAGACATTATGGAAGACAAAGAAAAACTGAGAGCTGAGAGTGCTTTACCTCCCTGTACAGAGTTTGCCTACCAGGATTGTGAAGACTTTGTTGGAAGGGGCTCCGAATTGCAGAGGCTTCTTCAAATCCTTGGAGCGTCAGGAGGCTGGAAACCCGTACACAAAGAGTCGAATTCAGTCTGACGGTCTGACGGTGGTCGCAGTCGTTGCTTCTTCGTAGGTCGACGTGTGGTGATACTACATGGGCCTTGTGGAATGGGAAAGAGCGCCATAGGCGTGCGATGTGTTGCTGGAAGCTTTATCGGGGCAGTTTGCCTCTAATATTGGAATTATCAACTGCTATCAGTCTGATCTATGAAGAATCTATGAGACAATTCTTTCATTCTGCATTGTTTCGTCCATAGCAGATCGCAGGTGCAGAACTTTGCCGGTTTGCAACTGCTCCTGGGCGAAGATTTGCACCAGCACGGTGCCACAGCATCGTTGCTACCGCGCTGCCGTTTTGACAAGATGTTCATAGGCCTTTACTTACTCGCAAGGCTTCTCTCAACAGGTCAAGTGGCCCTAATGTGAACTCTTGGAATAATATGATCCGCGATGATCCGAAAATAGCTGCTTAGCAACAAGACCACCAGCGAATGTTGTGTTCAGGAGCAAGTGGCGCAATCATCCTAACCTCTTCTCATGAAACCACGCGCTGAAGCCGCCTCAGAAGGCTGCTACATGTTTCCTTGGCAAAGCAGAATGACTGGCGGGACATACTAACCACTATACTACCGCGGATCTGCTAAATGGCACTGAGAAGCTCTATCACAACAAGTAAGATGGAGCATGTGCTGCCAAAAGCCGCCGAGCTAAAACTCTAAAATGACTGTCCGCGCCTCTTCCATGGCCTGTAGGTGCACAAAGAGTCTAAAGCTTCCAGTTCATTGGTTTCGCATGTACCCTTTTGGATCTCTTAGGTCTTAGGCTCTAAATGCTTGCAGTGTAAGCGGTGCAAGTAACGAACGGCGAACGTTTCTTGTTTGCAGCGCTTCGACCTAAGTGTGATGTTTCATTTCATGACTGTATTCTTGTGAATTGTTTTTTTTGCTTTTCCTGTCTTGCTTGTATGTATCAAGGCACCATGCCGTTTTCTTACAGTAGATGCATGTAGATGCATTTTGCGGGATGCCCGTCCCTGTAAGAACGCCGATACGCATTGGCTCGCTTCCGCAGCGATGACATAAGATATCATAAGATAAATCCACCCTCTGATGCTCTGGGAAAATGTTTGCCCCACGGTAGACCAGAGACGAAAAGAAGAGAGCTGCGAGGTGAAGGGCAGGCAACGATTGGCCTATGTGCCATGGACTCAGTTGTCCTGTACAGCAAGCGGAATGGTTCTCGGTCTCGGTGAGATTAATCAGGTCCTTGCAGAATTCAGCTATTGATTCCGAGACAGGCCTGCGGCCACAGTTTATTTTTTTTTGCGGGGGGGTGTGTTAGCAAAGCAGCGGCGTTAAGTGCAAGCGTTTTTGTGGCAACCTGCATACATTTGCAATTGTACAAGCATCGCACGGGTCAACGACGGCTACAGAGATTCACAGCGGTGCTCAAGTGCTCCTTGCCTAGTCCCAGGCACAGCAGCTTGCGCCCACTTAGCCATTTTCGCTGCAGACTCTTGGTTGAATCGAGGAATTTCTCACTCAACGGGCTAAGTCCTACGTGCTATGCTTCCGTGCTGAGGCCGCTGGACTTGCCTCGAAGGATGGCGAGCGATCATGTGCGCCCCAAGAAGATGACATTCGTAGCCTTCCTACTTTGCGCGCCGTGCGTGGCCTCGCGCCATGTCTCTCAGTCTCTCCAACGCCCTTTTCTGAACGCAGGCCTGCTGATTGATCGCGCGGAGAAGCAATTTGGTTGGTCAGCCTCTCAAGGGTGGCCTTTGCATCTGTGTTTGGAGTTTGTGAATCGGCGAATCGGCGAGTTTTGCCATCCGGATGAACTCCAGAAGCCACCCTGTATCCGCTCAAGCCAACGGGTTGTCACTAAGGAGCGACGACTTTGTCCCTGAATTATTGGACAAGCATCCACAACTATGTCTTTTAATCACCAGGCGACTCAGTGTCTTAAGCGCTGGTCAACATCATCAAATGGATGTGGGTCAAAAGGTCAAAACCAAACAGGCCAAAAACCATAGTTTGCTTTTTTCATGGTTGTTTGTGTACTGCTTATGATCCAGGCTGTAGGCCTACGCATGCCAACGCAGTGTAAAAGATCGTGCACAAACCCCTTTCTCCACCCGGCCTTAGACCAAGGGACGCTGTTCGGGAGCGGACTCGACGGACATCGATGTTTGACATGTCCTGAAGGGAGAAGCAAGAAATTATGGGACAGGTCAACATTCCAGGTACTGTGGCTGTGGCTCATGTTTGTTCCTTCCTTTGGGTCAAGCTGACAGGTGGGTTGAACGGTGAACGGTTTTGACGCCGCATGGTCGCCAATCGAAAAAATTGCAGGCGGTCGCCACTGTACAGGCTTGACGGTCAAGGAGGAGATCCAGTGGCTTTCGCGGATTTTGCCCTCCAAGATTCCAAGATCTTCCAAGTATGGCTGCCTTTCCCAAGAGACTGGATCATGAGACAACTTTTCTGAAATGTCAAAGAAGTTCACAGAAGTTAAGTTTCAGGAGACAGATGGAAGTCTTGCACCCAGATTGCATCATGATCATCACGGTGCAGTACCACGAGCACGGCAGCGCGAACAAACGGCAGCCCGAACAAGCCAGTGTTGAAATTCAGTCTAGTCTTGTTCATCTATTCGCCATGCTTGGTCCTTCCTGCCTGAACTTATATACAGTA